GAGTATGTTACAGCATGTTACTGCGTGCTGATCAGGTGGCTAACACATGACAGCAGTGGGGCCCAGCATCCCGAGATTGTGTCTCAGTCGGAATCCACCCTGTCACTGGTTCCTATTGTATTGGGGCTTCACACAGTCAGGGTCAACCTCCAACTGTATTCAGTTCATATCGAGTGGAGCCTTGTGATCCTCAAATATCACAGACCTCCCTTACTCTCCTCTGCCGCACGCGCTCACTCGTGCTCAGGCTCTGGTCACGTTGCGACCTCTTGGAGCACTTTACCCCATACAGCACGTGATGGTGGGGAGTGAGCCCCAGCACAGACACCATGGGGAGAGAGAGAGAGCAGGGAATGGGGTTAGAGTGGAGAGCTCCAGTGGGGGAGCGAGCCCAGCACAGACACCATGGTTTAGTAAAAGTTAGGGCGTGGGTTATAATTTCCATGTGAGACCCTTATCATTAGATGTCCCTTCAAAACAAAAATATATTTTTAAAAATAATAATTTGAAATAAAACTGAAAAAATAAATTGGTCACTTCAATCCACGACTGTTTGTGGGATAATTGGCTGCTGCATTTCACCCTGAATATATAAAGTTAATTCACATTACAGTGTATCCTGTGAAGCGCTTTGAGATGTCTCAAAGATGTGATGAGGCGCTGTATCAAATGTAAGGATTATTATTATGTCAGTTACAGTCCTGTATTTGGGGATTGGAGATGTGTGTAACCTCCTCTGTGGGCAATATAAGTCATTAAAGCTGCTGCCACCACATGATAGGGCATTCTGTGCCCACAGCCGCTCGGCCGCTCGGCCGCTCGGCCGCTCAGCCGCTCGGCCGCTCGGCCGCTCAGCCAGCTGGTCCAAGGTACATTAGACTGACGATAGCACACAGGCTCGTCCCAGAGAGCAGAAACGGTGCAAAAAGGTTCTGGAATATTACATTTTTGCTGTGGTGACAAGGGACCATTGGGCAGGTGATGTCTGGGGAAGGCAGCGGTGTGTGTGTGTGCGTGTGCGTGTTATTACTCCACGATGTCCTAATGAACCCGTCGGAGTGAGCTAGACATTGGGGAGCGGTCAGGGAGTGAAGGTGGGTCCCTGAGTGAGATACATTTACAGGGGAACTTTGGCAGAGACTGAAAGTTTCACAGTGACAGATCTTACAGGGTTTTTATAGCGCTTTATCATATCCAAACATCTCGTAGTGCTGCATGTTAATAATTGTTGAGTCCTGTAGCTTAGTGTTACAGCACTTGATTCCCGGGCGGAGGGGGCGAAATGTTGGGCATTTCCTTACTCCACTCTCCTCTGGTTACCGGCAGTCAGTAGGAACCCGGTTGTTAGTCAACTGATGGATCACTTTTCTGGGGGTAAAAATTGCTTCAAAAATAAAACAATTTGGTCACTCAATCTACGACTGTTTGTGGGACATTGCTGTGCGCAATTGGCTGCCGCGTTCGCCCACAAATATACAGTCACTTCACTTTACAGTGTGTTCTGTGAAGCGCTTTGGGACGTCCTCCCGACGTGAACAGCGCTGTATCAAATGCAACGATTATTATTATTATGGGGGGTCGGTATGTCTGTGTGTGTGTCTGTGTGGGGGGGTGGGGCTCAGTGTGTTTGTGTGTGTGGTGGGGTGGGGCGGGTCTGTGTGTGTGTGTGTGTGTCTATCTGTGTGTGTGGGGGGGCGGGTCTGTGTGTGTGTGTGTGGGGGGCGGTCTGTGTGTGTGTGGGGGGGGCGGTGTGTGTGTGTGGGGGGGCGGTCGGTGTGTGTGTGTATGTGGGGGGGGTCGGTGTGTGTGTGTGTGGAGAGGGGGTCGGTGTGTGTGTGGTATGTGGGGGGGGTCGGTGTGTGTGTGTGAGGAGAGGGGGTCGGTGTGTGTGTGTGGGGGGTGGTGTCGGTGTGTGTGTGTGGGGGGGTGGGTGGTTGGTGAGTCTGTGTTTGTGTGGGGTGGGGGTGGGTTGGTGAGTCTGTGTGTGTGTGTGGGGGGGGTCGGTGTGTGTATGTGGGGGTCAGTGTGTCTGTATCTGTGTGTGTGTGGGGTGGGGGGAGGCTGGTGTGTGTGTGTGTGGGGTGGGGGGAGGCTGGTGTGTGTGTGGGGTGGGGGGAGGCTGGTGTGTGTGTGTGTGGGGTGGGGGCTGGTGTGTGTGTGTGTGGGTGGGGGAGGCTGGTGTGTGGGGGGGGTGGGGGGAGGCTGGTGTGTGTGTGTGTGGGGTGGGGGAGGCTGGTGTGTGTGTGTGTGGGGTGGTGAGGCTGGTGTGTGTGTGGGGGGGTGGGGGGGTGAGGCTGGTGTGTGTGTGGGGGGGGAGGCTGGTGTGGTGTGTGTGGGGGGTGGGGGGGTGTGAGGCTGGTG